ACAGTTGAGGAGTTGGACGGCCAGGAGAAAATCATCGAAGGAAAATGGAATGAATTGCTCATCATCCAAGACAAACTCAGCGAGACCCTCCTGTCATCTCATCAACATATTATTGAGACGACCTATCAGAGGGCTTCAACGCTGAAGGAACCCTGCCTCACACTCATCTATCAGCTCAAAGGAATCATCAAGAAGAGGGAATCAGCGAGTACATTAACAACATCAGGCCAAGCCAATCAACTCAAGAGAATCGGACTGAAACCATTCGAAGGAAAATACTCAGAGTGGAAGCAGTTCAGCGACCTGTTCCAGTCACTGGTGGGAAAAGACGATTCAATTCCGCCAGTGCAAAAGCTAGTACGCCTCAAGGAGGCTCTCAAGGGACAGGCAGCAAATCTCATCGACACCTTCACGGTGACCGATGAGAATTATGAGAAGGCCTGGCAGAAGCTAGTGAGGAAATATGAGGATCCCAGACTCATCGCTCAAGCACTGTTCAACAGGATCCTCCACCTCCCGAAGATCACCAAGGCAACTGCGGAGAACCTCAACGCCAATGCAGCGACAGCCCTTGAGACGAGAGATCAGCTGATCACTATGACAGGCTTGTCCAAGGAGAGCGTCAGTGAGCAGATGATCGTTCATCTATTGAGGAAGTCCCTGGATGCTGAGACTCTCAGAGCATGGGAATTGAAGCTAGGAGATTCCAAGGACTTCCCAACGCTGGAGGAGTTCACCGGCTTCGTTGAATCCTGCGCAAGAGGCATCAATGCTGGAGCCAAGCTGACCACCGAGCCTCTAGCACCACCAGTCAAGAAGCATGGAGCAACTCAACGTCAGAGAAATGCTCACCTAGCAGTAACTCAACAGAGGGAGCCAGGAGAGCTCACCAGACTGCTCCCCAAGGAGCACTGTGCCTACTGCAAGGGACCACATTTCATCGCGAACAGTGAGAGGTTCGTCGACCTGTCCCCCATCAAGAGGAATGAGTTCATGGTCAGCACAAGGCTCTGTTTCAACTGCTTGGGCCCACATCTATTCTCAAAGTGCAGGTCCACCAAGACGTGCTTCAGCTGCAAGCGCAGGCATCACACACTCATCCATGGTGGAAGCACGTACACCAACGGCAGAGATGCTGAGCAGGCAGCTCCAGTGAACCCAACAAGAGAAGAAAATCCACAGACGGTCCAACCAGGAACGAGCTGGGCTGAGTGTACGTAAAAACCTAGTTTCCCTCTAATTTAAAAACACTCATTGATCGCTCTCAATTATACCTACCAGCATCCAGAGCATCACCAACACGAATCATCACCAATCAGGCGATCAGTACCTCAACATCACCTGTCATCAAAGAGCAAATCACCAAGCAGCCAATCATCGAGCAGAGCAGTCATCATTTACCAGCTGATCAGCAATATACTTTTCTAGCAACAGCCCAAGTATGAGCACAATCTCCAAAGGGCTTCCTTCTCAAAGCAAGAGCGCTCATCGATCAAGGCTCCGAGTTATCATTTATCTCTAAGGAACTAGTACATCAACTACAACTCTTACGAAGGTCATCAAAAATAGAGTTAATCGGAATAGGAGAGACAAACTCAGGTCACACGAGGGGAGCAGTATCAGTACTGCTTCAAGAAGTTGATGGATCACAGCAAGTGCAAATCAATGCTCACATACTCAAGAAACTCACCGTCAAGCTACCATCATTCTCGTGCTCAACAACATGGATCGACCCTCCACAAGGTCTTCAACTAGCCGATCCAGATTATCTAAAACCTGGTCCAATAGACATCATCATAGGGGCTGACAGCTATGGGCGGATCATCAAGAACAGAGTCGTCAGGTCCAGAAACACTCAATTAGTTGGCCAATAAATAATATTTGGTTGGATACTATCAGGTCCAATCGAATGCAGTGGTTGTTTACCGAGGGTTTCTCTATCGGCCGTAAAGGAATCTTCAAACGAGCAACTACAAGAGCTTCTTCAAAGATTTTGGCACCAGGAGGAATTACCAAAAATTCCCAACTCATCAGCAGAGCTATCACCAGATGAACTCGAGTGTGAGACATTCTTTAAGTCCACACACACCAGAGACGAAACTGGGCGCTACATCGTAAGACTTCCTCTACGGACCTCACCAACAGCGCTCGGAGAGTCTAAATTCAAGGCCTCACGTCAACTCCAGTCAGTTGCACGTCGTCTTCAGACAGACGAATCATATTCCCAGCTCTACAGAGAATTCATCAACGAGTATGAGGCACTGGGACACATGCGCAAAGCACCAGAAGGAGCAGAACCCGTCACAGCATACTATCTACCGCATCACGGGGTTCTGAGAGAGGACGCACTCACCACGAAGCTGAGAGTTGTCTTCAACGGCTCAAGTCCTAGCTCATCAGGATTATCTCTCAATGATATCCTCTATCCGGGTGAGAAGCTACAAGTTAATACCATGAACGTATTAACATGGCTCAGAAAACACAAAATTGTTTTCGGGACAGACATTGTCAAGATGTTCAGACAGATTCGAGTGCATCAAGACGATTGGGATCTCCAGAGAATTCTGTGGATCAACGAAAATCAGCAGCAGATCACCTACCAACTGACCACAGTCACCTACGGTCTCAATTGTTCTCCATGGCTATCTCTACGAGTTCTCCAACAATTAGCAGAGGATGAAGGACATCACTATCCAGCAGCCGTCGAGGCACTCACCAAAGGTCGCTACGTCGACGATATCTACGGCGGAGCTGATACAGAAGATCACCTCAAAGAAATCGCATGGCAGTTACAAGGGCTCTGTCAAGCAGGCGGTTTCGCTCTACAAAAGTGGAGCAGTAATTGCCCACACGTTTTAGAGGAATTGGGAATCTCAACGAGCAAGGCAATCATCCAGTTCGAGGAGCCTATCACCAAAGTGCTCGGATTGTATTGGCATCAATCGTCCGATACATTTCAATTTAAATCAAAGCAGTTCGAGTCAGCAACAATCACCAAGAGAGTAGTAGCATCAGAAATCGCTCAACTGTTTGATCCATTGGGATTCATCGCTCCAGTAATCACCCGAGGCAAGATAATCATCCAAGATCTATGGAAACTCAAGCTCACTTGGGACACACCACTTCCAAAGGAGTATGAAGATCAATGGACAAGCTTCAGAGAGAACCTCAACCAACTGAATCAAGTCTCAGTGCCAAGGTGGCTGAGACTCTCATCGGAGACATCGAGCATCCAGATCCACGGGTTTGCAGATGCGTCAACAGCAGCCATGGGCGCAGTGGTGTATATTCACACCAAGCAAATCAACGAACCAGCATCAACGGTAATGGTATGCGCTAAAACAAAAATAGCTCCCCTCAAGTGCATGACCATCCCTCGACTCGAGCTAACAGCAGCACTCATGCTTACTCAACTAGTAGTTGCAACTCAGAAGATGCTGGAACTCAACGCAGTAGACACGTACCTATGGTCTGATTCAAGTGTAGCCCTAGCTTGGATCAAGAGTCACCCATCGAGATGGAAGGATTTTGTCCAAAACCGAGTCATCAAGATCCAGGAATCCCTTCCAGACGCTACCTGGAGGCACATCAGCGGTAAGGAAAATCCAGCCGACTGTGCATCCAGAGGACTATCACCACAGGAGCTAGCAGAACATCAGCTATGGTGGTCAGGCCCTGAGTGGATAAATCAGGAACCTGAAAACTGGCCAGTATCACCACTTGACTCTCCAGCCGAAGCATCAACAGAAGCAAGGCCAACTTCATCACATCAGACATCTATCAAGATCAACGCCGTAGCAGAGCTCCTCAACAGATACTCAACACTAGCCAAGGTCCTCCAAGTAACAGCCACCGTGAACCGAGCCATCGACAGGTTCAGAAGACAGCCAGTCCCTCAAACACCGGTCTTAACCTCTAGAGAACTCAACGAAGCCAGACTGTTTTGGGTAAAAATTACGCAATATCAATATTTTGCATCTGTTCACAGGCTACTTGAGAGAGACCATCAAATACCACGGAGTCATCCACTAGCAAAGCTGACTCCAACTCTAGACAATGAGAGCATCATCAGGCTAGGTGGCCGCCTTAAAAATTCTCAAATAGACCCTGACTAGATTCACCCAATTATCCTGCCTCGTCAGTCTCGCTTAACAACGTTGGTCATCGAAGAAGCTCACCGAAGAACACTCCATGGAGGAACTCAACTTACTCTAGCCCACACACGCCAGAAGTATTGGATCATCGGCGGCAGATGCACTGTGAGAGCATATATCTCACGCTGCCCTGCCTGCATCCGACATCGTGGACGACAGGCCCAGCAACTAATGGGCCAACTGCCTGCAGTGAGAATATCACCTTCACGAGCATTTCTCCATACGGGGGTGGACTATGCCGGCCCATTCCCCATTCTCAAATGGCGACCCACAAATGCCCAACCAACTAGCGTTCATATTGCAGTATTTGTGTGTTTCAGTACATCAGCAGTCCATTTAGAGCTCGTTTCGAAGAGCGTATTGGATTAAATCATATAGAATAATTCCTATAGAAAACCCTATACGATTCCCAGGCGAATGGATAGAAACCTCGTGTATAGAATCGCCGTGATTTCTATACGCCATTTCTCTCCGAGCGTATAGGAATAAATCGTATAGAATAATCCCTATAAAACCCCTATACGATTCCCAGGCCAATGGATAGAAACCTCGTTGTATAGATTCGCCGGATTTCTATACCATATTCTCTCGAGCGTATGGGAATAAATCGTATAGAATAATCCCTATAGAAACCCTATATGATTCCCAGGCGAATGAGATAGAAACCCTGTATAGAATCGCCGGATTTCTATACGCATTTCTCTCGAGCGTATAAGGAATAAATCGTATAGAATAATCCTTATAGAAAACCCCTATACGATTCCCAGGCGAATGGATAGAAACCTCGTGTATAGATCGGATTCTATACATTAGTATGAATCGTATAGAATAATCCCTATAAAATCCCCTATACGATTCCCAGGCCAATGAATAGAAACCTCGTGTATAGATTCGCCGGATTTCTATACATATTTCTCTCGAGCGTATAGGAATAATTCGTATAGAATAATCCCTATAGAAACCCCTATACGATTCCCAGGCGAATGGATAGAAACCTCGTGTATAGAATCGCCGGATTTCTATACGCATTTCTCTCGAGCGTATAGGAATAAATCGTATAGAATAATCCCTATAGAAACCCCTATACGATTCCCAGGCGAATGGATAGAAACCTCGTGTATAGGAATAAATCGTATAGAATAAAAATTCACGTATAGAATACAATGATGAAAAAGTATTCGTATAGAAAAACTTCGTATAGAAAATTTTCGTATAGAAAAGTCCGAATATCATATACGAAAAACCTATAGAAATCGTATAGGATCATTCTATACACAATTCGTATAGAAAAGTTCTATACGATTTTTTCATACGTGCGGCGCGACAGTCAACTTCAGACGCAAAAACACCGGTTTGTCTCAAACGCGCGCGGAAACTTCGCGCACTTGTAATCCCAGGATAAACGTTCGAAACGAATATTTGATATTCTCCCCACGATGCTACGATATAATCAACTACTTTTTTACGAATCCGGTCATGCGTTTGACGTATATTTCCATCGCTGAGGGCAAGCGCTGATACTTTGAATAAACAATCCCCCCCTCCACCAGCTTCATGCAGAGTGAATTCCACATTGTTTAACTTTTTTCGCGACATGTTAAACTATATCCACAGAAATTCAATCAGTAGAAATATCGATTTATCCACAGGTATTATCACTATGACAAGTATATATCTTTAAGGAATCTTTCCAACCGTCCTCGACAACCTCTAATTGTGAAATGAATATTCGCTATGAAAAAAGAGTATGTTTCGTGTCAATTCAGCTCTACCCCCGTTGGTCACTCGATAGAAAGGGGGACGGGCAGACAAGAATGAACCCCGAAATATGAATCACCCATATTCTTGGAAAATATTCTGATTATTGAGTCGATTCGTGCAAACTTGCCGACATTACTTGCAATAAACGGACCCCCGCTGACGGAGGACTATTATTTGAATAACTGTTGAATAATTCCTGCTTTACGAAAATTCCAAAATTTTCGTGGAAACTCATTTAAGGGACTGTAATACAATAGCGTTATGCTTATATTTCAATGTGACACACCGGAGGAATTTGACATAAATAGAGTTACCATATTCGTCCACGGATTGCATGAAAAAAGTGAACCTTTCCAAAGGAAAAGATTCTATGGTATTTCTTTCAAAAATTACTCAATAATGCGATAGTTCAATACCCAATAATGCAATATTAACTTGTTACCCCTTAGAACTACGCCAATGAATTCAATCTATGGGCGAATTCGCCAAATATTGGTATGGTTTTGTACCTTAAAAATTTTAATTTCGTTGAGGCTTTTCACATGGTTTTTCTTATTATTAGGAAGATCCGCACGGATTTTTTTTTTTCAATTTTTTCCAGTTTTGATATGCTCACTACGTCAATTTTTCTATTCCTTGAGTATTTGACGAAATTTTTAGTGTCAGTAGTTATCAATTTTTTAATGGAAGGTTTCAAAAATTGAAATAGTTAAAAAAATATATTTTCTAAAATCAATTTTGGACAGAAAGGATCGGAGTGCCACTTTGATTTCTCAGTATGTTTTGTAAAAAAGGTCACTTTGGGTAAGGAGAGAAGAAAATCTGCAATCATGGTTGGGAAAGACGGTACAAAGTGCAATTTGGTTCTTTTTGGCATTTTTAAAGCATTTCCGATGGTATGAGCTAATTGAAACCATACTCAATTGGAAGAACTGAAAATTTCTATCGGAAGCACATGTCAGAAAATGTGGAAAAAATTTTCCTCTACTGAAACCAAAAATTTCGTCAAAAAATCAAGAAACAGAAGAATTGACGTAATGAGTAACAAAACTGGAGGAAAAATTTAAAAAAAGGATTTGGTCTTTTGAATCATAAGAAAACTATATGAGCAGCCTCGACAAAATTAAATTTTTGAAGATACAAAATTATACCAATATTTGGAAAATTTTCCTCTATGTTGTTTTGCAGGAAGAAAATGATGACATAATATTTTCAAATTCATTATTAAAGTGAATTTTTAAATCAACAGTATCGCAGAACTCCTTCTTAAACATTTTTAGAACCGCATATAATCATTACTTCATTTTTACGATCATGACCACTGCCATGTCTCCACCGTTGAACCTGAGTGAAATCATTATTAGAATATTAATATTACAATAGAATTACGTAATTTTCCCTAAAGTAAAATAATTATGGGTATGCTCGGAAACATATATATATATATATATAAATTTTGCNAAAAACATATTGCCGTGATTACGTGAGGTGATCAGTATGATAACCATGCAATGTTTTGATGTATAATTCAAATGACTGAATTATAACCTCAAAACTGAACAGCTCTTGGCATGACCCGGGAGCACCACGTGGAGGTGGCTGTTCAAGGCTCCCAAAAAGTTGTTAATTGCGGGTGTAACTCCGCAATTTCCAACTGGCGCAAAGACGGTGTATGCTGCCTAGCCGGGTTACGCAAGGTCGCAATGTTCGGATGGAAAATGACGCTCATACCTGGCTCTACCTCCTGATGCATTTAAATCCGCCGCGGTCCCTTCTGACCGCATGTTTTATTGCAAAACATAAGAACTCCACTTTCGGGAATATTCGCGTCAGATCTTCGGACTGAGGTTATCGGCATACTGGAGGGTTCGCGAGGTCGAGGTCAAACTTGCATGATGATCACTATACCATACGACGAACGCCCACTACTGGTCATTTTGATAACCGTTATCAAACTGCCCAGAGCTTCATTTATCGTATGCTACAGAAAGATCGTTAAGTTATCAGACTATCCATCTCACATATATATACATATATATATATATGCTAAGATTAGATAATGATTAAAAAAAAAATATTCGTGTTCGTATTTTTGTTTTAATGGGAAAGCAGCAATGTACAGTATATTGGCGCCCCAAAGGGCCCAAACGGCTGAAACTGGTATCGACGCCCCTGAAAAAGGTAGCCGGGCGCACATGTGTTTTTAATTTTGAGGGACTGCTGGTGAACGGGCCCATAAACTCCATGACGAGTTATGATCGTTTTAACAGTACTTTTTTTGACAAATTTTCTTGATTTTTTTAAATAATCAACGGAGATTGTTTATTGAAAAACTATTGACCGAATGTGTTTTACATTGGACTCAAAATGCATTGTTTTTTTTTCAGGTCGGCTCGGCAATTCTACAACGAAATAACCGCAGTCGACATTTCTATAAATAAAATGAATAATTATCGCAATTTCGATCTTTTTCTTCCCTGGTTAGCTTCTCAGGGGGTATACAAATCTCTGAAAAAATTGACGATTCAAAAAAAAAAATTTTCGTACGTTTGCTAGCGGTTCAAAGTTTGCCGACTTTTACGGACCCTGAAAATCGGGAGGGTTTTCGGCTTCTCACAGCGATTATAAATAAACTAATCAAATTAAAAACTTGAAACTCCGTATTGGGTAAGCGAAATACTCATATTACACAGTGTATTTGGTCTCATATTTTTACGATTTTTTTTCACTGAGTTATAGACGTTTATTTCGAATGGTCTCTACTTTTGACACCGACAGTAGGTAACGGGTGGGTAGACATCTGTCGAAAAATTGCTGCGGTGGAATACCTTGAGGAGACGGGCGTTGATTCATGCAGTTACACGATGGGAGGATAGGGGGGAGTCATTTTGGAGGACAAAGGTGTCAAGGAAAGTTATTGATCATTGATATTTCAAAATTGAATAATTTGTCTGGGGAGTATTCACAGAGAAAAAAAAGTTCCGGTTTTTAGGAGTATATACGTTATTTTTGGAAATCGCAGGGATCGATAAAAATTGTTACTAAAGAATTTTAAGAGAAATTTAGCATAGATTAGTCACAGTTCCTTAATTTTTATTTGAATTTCAAGATAGTTTCTAATTCTCCATTACAATTAAAAAATTGATTCTAAATATCTGAATTGGACGTTTCAATTAATCAAATAATCATCATTCTTGTGC